GTGGTCCACGCGGGCTTTACTGTGAAATAACGCCCACGAACCTCCTCCATCTTCTTGTTGTACAGGTCTTTAGCAGCTGCGACGGCTGCTAAATTATTGGCCTCTGCTGTAGCCTGAGAGGAAGAGTTCAGAAAAAAACAGAATCAAGTATTTAACATGAGTAAAACTGCAGTTTGAAATGACTAGGTACAGTAGATAGAGACTGGATAGAAGCAGGTGTGATACTGAACACAAAAAGGGAAATGACTGAAAACAACTGACATAGAAACAAGTTTTGATTTAGGACAGAGTTCAGAAATATAATTAATTAAAAAATCTATAATTACTGTATTAAAAACAGTGCAAATGAGTACAATTAATAAATGAACCACACAAAACAATTGGACTTTTTTTTTTCAAATCCTGAAGAGCAACATTAAAACATTATCTATACAAAACATCTACATATAGTATAGTACTTGAATGAAGTACCTGCAACATGGACTTTGGATGTGGCAGCTCCTCGCCCTGGTAAATTTTAATATATGCCTAAAAGAAAGGACAAAAAGGACAGTTATATTATAGAGTCACGTGTGAAGTTAAAGGGAAGATATTTGGTGTTTAATTGACTCTGTTTATGCTACAAATCACGTGTGAAGTTAAGGGGAAGATATTTGGTGTTTAATTGACTCTGAAGGTCGGTCTACTACTTTAGTACCAGCTTCAACAACTAAGAACACGTTTTATAATTTGGCAAAAAAATCTGGAAATGTGTCTCAAACAAGCCGTTCCCTTTTCACCCACATTGTGACATCACAAAACAGGTGGTTGTCCCAGAGGAACCACATACTAAATGGCGCCTCCTGTGGCAGATTCTATGGGTCCCCATCGTGGGACGAATAAAGGGACGTCAATATATCAATCAATCTCAATCATCAATAATACCACCCCCCCACTGGGGAGCGCCATCCATACTACACCTCCAACCTGTGTGCAGATCCACCAGGGGGCAAACTTGACTGTCACAACCCTAACCCTGAACAGCGCACAATGAATCCCAGCCATATATCAATCATCAATAATACCACCCCCCCCTGAACAGCGCACAATGAATCCCAGCTAACTAATGTAAACACAACAGTGTCGTCTGCATATTAATCTGCATTACAGTAGCATAATATGTCGGCTTTAAGGTAGAAATCCAAAGTTAATATTCTACATGGTGTTTTTGAGTCAAGGTGTTCAAGAAGTTCAAATCTGACCTTGAAGTACTCCACCAGACCTCTGCAGGTGATTTTACTGCCGTTGATCTCTTTCACGTCAATGCTACCAGGACTCAGGAGCCAGGGAACCAGAACCTTCAGGTTGTTGATGAAGTCACTATCGATTTCTACAGGGAAGAAATAGGCCAGTTATTGTCAAGGCTGCTAAAGACGTTATGTTTGACTTTGAAGGAGAGATAGACTCTACGTTTAATTCTTCCATCAAAGTGTGGGTTCGTGGCCACTTTGAGGCCCGGGTGTGGCATCAGGAAGCAGGAGATGTTGGTGAAGCAGGAGTGAATGTGTTTACGCACGTTCTGCAGCTCTTCGTGCTGGTTCTCTGAGATCTGGTGCACAAATATGAAACACCAATCAGGTTTAAGACATAATTCTGATTCTTTTAAAAGTCCAGACTCTGGTGAAGTTGACCGACCTTCAGTCTCTTCTCCAGGAACTTCATGCCTCCTTCTTGTCCGTAGGGAAACTCGTACGGGAAACTCCAGTCTCGAACAAGGAAAATCATGGACTGGAAGTGAGAATATATCAGATCAGTTTGAATTTTCAGCTATTTTTTCTTTTTGTTCCCCAGTAAATTGTCGATGCTCAATAAATCATTGCACAGCAATAACTGTGACTAATTAGTGACCAGAAATCTGAAATGTTAAACTGTACCTGGAACGGCTTCAGGAACGTCTCCTCCATCGCTAGTCTGCCATATTCAGTGAAAAGCTAAAATAAAACAGAACAGTTTGTAACTGGATCATTAATGTTTCAGGAGAATAACGATCCACAGGTGGTTTCTTTTACTGGTATCAATGATACTCAAAGTGGGGGGTGGGTCCCCCTTGGGGGTGTGGAGCCATTAATGGGTGCTGTAAGGGACTGGTTTAGTCCATCGTTGGACTTGTACTTGAGTTTCTTCAACACTTTTTTTACCTCTTATCCTCTAAGATGAAACAGCGTCTTCATTTCTTTTATTGCAGCTTCTCCGATGATGGCTTCAAAAAACATAACAAACATGTGCTGTGTTGTCACATCTCTGTCGAAGGTAATACCTGTAAGTGCTGAAGGTCGTCCTCTTGAACATTCTGTGAGATGTTATAAACCTGAAAAAAAATTCAATCTTAATTGAACATTTCCAAAAAAAAAGGATTTTCACTGTCACAAAAAGTATATACAATGGCAAAGATTGCTGTTAAAAGTCTTTTTTTTCCTGGAATATTTGTTTTTTGTGACATAGGGTCTGATCTTTATCATCACAGCTGACAAACCAACAATTCTAATCTCATGTGGATCAACACCTGATGAATCATTGACTTGGAGAACAACCAATGATGTCACTGTAACTGTTACATTATGACTACGTGTCTCATGCTGTGTACACTAGCTTACCATTTTACAAATTCTTATTCTTGACTTGTGTTTCTTCTTCTAGAAATTTCAGAACAAAATCCAGTGTATGCCACCCACTAACAGTTGCCGTGATAAGGAGATAATTCTCCTTTTCTAAAAATGTTACAACTGATGAATGTAATTGTAGGATATTTCACCTCAGTCAGTGGTTCCCAAAGTGTGGGGTGGGCCCCTAGGATGCTGCAAATCTATCGTGGAGGGGGCTCAGCAAAATATTTTATCTTTGCTGACTGATTTATAAATGTATGTCTTTGAACGATGAAAATAGCAAAATTAAAGTAAAAGATTTAGAAAAGGAAAGTTCATTTGACTTTTGAAGCCAAATCTCTGAAGGGCGTTGACACTCATCTACAAAAGGGGGCGCTGTTGTTGAACCATTGTTCCTAGGTTGTCTGTTGACATTGATGGCCCTAAACCAGCCTGGTCCATCCTTTGTCTCATCGTAGAAACCTGTTGTCCAGAACTCCTGCCCCTACACCAGCCTGTGTTCTCTCCTCACACGGAGCTGATCTGATAATGTTCACCTTTTACATTCACATTAAAGCAGAGCTGGAAGAGTCAGGTCCCATACCTGCATGGAGCTGATCATGGTGCTCAGAGCAAACACGGTGGCCGAGTCCCTCAGTGTGGACTGACTGTCAAACGTGCCTTGTGTGTCCATTAGCAAAACAGCGACCTGTGTTGATGACGCAAAATGAAGGCGTGAAGAACACGGCAGGGTTGACCACAGGGTTTTCGGCCTACAACCAACATCTATAAATTCTAAAAATAAGTATTATATAACTATTGTATTTAACTATTTCCTTAGAGCCCTGGCTAAAACAGAACACCTGACCTCACCTTTGTACCGTCTGGCTTGTCCACCTGAAAGACCTCGCTCCAGATCTGGATGCCGGTTGTTTCTCTCTCTGAGCCTCCTCTCCAGGAGAAACCAGTCAGAGGCTCGTCCGACTCTCCGAGCCAGCTCTCAGACGCCTGAGGATGTTAGAGCAGAGATGATTGATGAAATGTTTCAAAATATTTTGCATGAACCTGCATATACTGTACACACCCAGTCTCACTGCTGCCCCTAGTGGCTCTGCTGTGTATGAATCTTTGTGTACATGCACATAGGCTCAGTGTCACCCATTCTTTAACTGCTGTGCCATCGTCAGTGATGTCATCCTCCAGCTAAATTAACAGCTGCTAACTTCCTGGTTCTTCTCAGAGCCAGATACTTACATGGTTGTACATGTAACGCAGCATGAAGTCCATCAGGAAGGACTTGCCCTTGCGGAAAGCCCCGGCCACAGAGATGGCCACCACCTCTCTGTCCCTGACCTCCTCTGACATCAGGATGCGATTCAGCGCCACCTCATCCAGCTCAAAGGTGTGGTCGTCTTTGACCAGCAGCACCTGGACAGGCCGGGCTCGTCCATCTGGCTCCTCCTCCTCCGAGCTCCAGTCGTAGACATTCTTGTCACTGAGGGACCCTGGAGGTCAAGAGGCCAAGGAAAGATAACGTGAAAGATAACTGCTCAGTGTCCAATTGAAATAACCACGTTTTAAACATCTTGAATAATTGAAGCTTATGACTTGACTGTGGTTTAAATGTTTTGGCGACCTCTACAGGTACTGTACATGGTTTCCTGGGTCGTCTTTTGTAGTCATAGTTGGTGGGAGACTGAACCCAGAAGGTTATGGTTCAAATCAGACCCTACACAAAGCACTAAACCTTAAGTTGTCCTAAATTCCACAGCCACCTAGTGGGCGATCAGAGACTGGATCAAACATTCCTCTGCTGCACCTACCAAGAAATCTGCAAAACATGTCAAGAAATGGATGCAAGTCCAGACAAGTAGACTAGAATTAGTGTTGTAACACCACGGGGCGACATGGAGATAAAAAACATTGAAATATATTGGAATAACTTTTAGATGATTTTTATTACCAGACAAACTCTTTTCTACCACTTGAGGCAGTGGTGGCTTGGCGCTTAAGGAAGCAGACTTGGGTCTGTACTTTCTTACCATTTTTACTAAATTGTGACGTCATCAATCTCATTTAGAGGGAGAGAAAGAAACACCTGTTTAGTTTGACCAAGGAGTCAGATTGTAGAAGAAAGACAAATGTGTCTATGGGCCTCAAAAAGGTCTAGACTCCGTTCTTAGTTTTTGTGAGTAAAGACTAACTATATTTACATTGAACTGGTATTTATAAAGAGAAAAATAATTAGCCTGTAGGCTACTGATACATTCTCTATATATGCTGTATATACAATCAGCAGCAAAAACATCCACATGATGGGATGTACAGTAAGAGCATGTGATCATCTTCTCATGGACAGTAAATCACATGCAGACATCCAGTGGTCCATTATGTCGAGCTGCAGGACAGTTATCTCTTCCTGTTAGCCCCTGATCAATAGCTTAGCCAACAAGCATGTTCATAATAATAATGAATTCCAAGGGCCATGTTATCCAGCCCATCTCCCCTGGTATCCAGGCAGATCATGTGCTGCAAGAGATTTATTTTCCCAGATTTTTCCAGATCTTTCCAGGCAGTGACTCAGAGGATGTTTCCAGTCTCCCTGCTGTCTCATGTAGACAGTCCTGGGACAAAAATGGTGTTTTTTAATAAACAAAGTTTAATACATTTTTTGGGTGGGGGCATTTTGAATATATTCAAATATAATTTAAATGAGAAGACCTTTTAAGTTTTTGGGTTTTTTTAACTATCCTTAATGAATTAAACCACATGATACCCAACAGACATGTCAGAAGCTAATGCTACAAAAGAGTGAAATATTCACAGGGCATTAAACTTCATCATGATATTTCTTATGTTAATATAATATTATTGAATACTCCTGTAATAATAATAATAATAAACTATTGATAATTCTATGTTCTCTATTTACATTTTTTTAAATCAAAAAGCAGTATTTTACTAAATGATTGCTAACGTTCACTATGTATGGCTAACTTTAGCAAACATCTAGAAGCTTCTCTCACTCAAACAGCAGTACAACTGCAGCTGTGTTTAATGAATTGTTCTGAGTTATTTTTTAGGGTTTTTCAAAACAACCAAAGATGTCGCAACTGTTACTAGATGTAACAACAGACACACTACAATGTGGTAAGAAGTCCTGAAAGTGGATGTCCATTACAAAGGCAACCGTAGCAACATGGTTCATGGAAGGGAGGTTCTACTGTACAGTTTTCAAGAACCTCTCCAGCACCATTGACATTGGCAGTTGGTTGCTATGGAAAAAAGAAAAGCTTCACTGGGGTTGCCAGGTAAGTAGACAGCTAGAGGAGTTTTGACCACCCACTTGATAATTGAAAGAATGCCATTCAGGTAAGTAGCAGGCTGAGCTTGAGGGGAGGAGGGTGATCTCACCCAGTTTTACCAAACAGAAGGTTCTGCAGAGGCCTTAATAACAGACACAGCACTGAAGCCCAGCCCGCTTGGTAAACCTGATCAAGTTGCTGTTTGTTGCCTCTTACATCAGCCAGACGGGAAACTGGGTCAGATCAGGTAAACCGCAGCTATGCCTCCCCATCTCCCCCCACCCACTGTTCACTCCTTCAACAACCAGTCCGACCTCTCCCATCCCTGCAGGCCTGGGTGATAAAATAGCAGCCTTTGAGTGATGTCTGTGACAGTCGGCAGCTGAGTCTCCTGATCACTGTGGCGATGAAGATGATTGCACCAGTGATTGGGATGATAAGGATGATGGTGATGATGAGGATCCGTTTACTCATGCGACATTACATAATACCATGTTTGCACCAAAGAGCATCATGAGAGGATGTCAGTGACAAACACAGGACCAGTGATTAGAAGGTTATTTCCAGGCCTTTTTTCCAGCCTGCACCACCCAAACTCAGCGTTTCCTGTGTCCTTCTTACGGTGAAAACATATCAAACATATGTCCTCTCTTGTGCTTGACTGGACAATAATTCTTCACTAACAAACACGGTGTGGCTGCTTAGTTCCAGCAACACTGCAAAGATATAAATGAGCTAAACGCCCCTACATCCCTGTTGCCAGATTTGGGATGAAAACCAGCATTTAGCAGCGGGAGTGGAATAAACATGTTACTGAATGTGTTGCCTTCAACCTCGCCTCGCATTTGCGTCAAGGCAAATAGAATGAAATAACAAATGGTGTACGTACACTCACCCCAGCTGTCTCTGTCCTTGCGGTGTTTGGACATGTCTCTCTGCCTTTAAAAATCCCGCTGTTCGTTCGTTAGTGTGCAGCAGAACAGTCTCTGGTCATGAGTGTCCGGGGTTTGGGAGGATGCTCCACTATCTCTAACCAAACGATGCTACTGCTTCTGCTGTTATCGCAGGATGATGGAGCCTTTTCATTCCCGCTACCATGCAGTAGTCAAGAGTGTCGCCAGAGGGCAATGTCGTCTGTTTTTCTGCCCCAATCTCACGTTAGTTGTAACAAAGGGGCACAATAAATGCTATGGATTAATAAAACGTCACAATCTTACATGTTTAGATATTAAATAAAGCGACTGGAAAAATGTTCCCTGCTGCAGCAAACATTTAAGATGTATTTTCTTTAGTTTATTTAAACATGCGCCTCCAGAATTATCCGGCAGATGACGCCTAGCAAACAGAGATTTGGAACCATGCTGCTTTCACGTGCTGTCGTTAAAATGTAAAGTTATTTATTTACACAAGACAAAGCTCTTCTAAGGGTGTTAATCATATGGTAATGAACATGAAAATTATTTCTAAAATCTCATAGCAATTTGTATAATTTCCTTAAGCATTTGTTTCCACATAATTAGATGTCATGTCATGTGACGACATAAATAATTTTTCAAATTTGCGGATTGAATTTAAGGTAAAGGTATATACAAAAATGTTTACGTAATATAGCGGTTTCACATGGCTAACATTAAAACCGAGAAAGAACCCAAGGTCTGATTTATTTATTTTTATTTTCATTGGAGATCACAAATGGTGAGACATTTTCTTCTTTAATGTAATATTATACCAGAATATGCGATTTGATTTGTGAAGCAGAGTTTGTATTTTCCTAAGTCGTCCCTGAAGGTAACAACAGGATCCACTGACTAGAGTGACTGTGTGGAGATTAGCGTCAGATGAACTGTTGCGTTTTTTTAGTCATGTTTTTATTGATTTTACATTTGTAGAAAGTCCAACTTTAATTATTTTACTTCGTGCGAGTTTCAAAATCCCACAGGTAATTGCGGACATTTCTTGAAAACCTGTCAGTGGGGAGAAAAGCGACATGCCAGCGGTGGAAAGTTAAAAACGCTGGCGCTGTGGTGGGAACTGTAACGTTGCAGTAAAGGAGCTAAAGTTTACTGCAGTTTCCTCGATAACAAAGGGGAAAACTGGCCTCGGATTTTCTTATCTGGAAAAAAACTATTTTACACCAAAGTTCAATCAAAAACGCAAACGAGGATTCGATATGAAAGAACTTCTTCACCGCTGTATTTGCATGGTTAAAGGTAAGTAAGATTGAGTAGCGGTCAAGCTAAGTTGCGTTAGCTGCTTAGCATTATTAGCGGAGTGCATGCTAAAGCTCCCACTCACTCAGCTTTATCCAGAGTACAACTGTAACCAACGATTATTTATGTAACACATTTATCCGGTAATGAGTTTCTCTGGTTAATTGATTATCGATGTAGACATTTAAAAACAAATATATTTCCTGTGTTGTTTTGTTCCCCAAACCAATTATTTGCAGTTTACAGTCAGAAAAACAAGACCTGAAGATGAACACAAATGAAAAAGCAAAAATCGTACATTTCTCATAACTAGGGTTAAAAAAAACTTATACGAAATAAATAATGTCATTAATCATTCAAGTGATCGATTGTTTATAATTCATTTGACTTTATTATTATTACCTACTTACCTCCTCAAATGAATTTTCATTCTCACCATATACACAATTTAATAATAATTTACTTCATTTTGAGTTGTGGTTTTTTTATCATGAATAATTTACGTTATCCATTAGGCATATAACCCTTATAATTATGCATATTCCTACAATGGTTCCACCTTTTTTCAGGGTTTAAAGGTAAATTGCGTAATTTTTAATGACACCTGGAGGTATATTATAAATAGTTAAATTTGTTTTTATATTGACAAAATCTACTGTAATCTAATATAACAACTGATCCAATATGGCTGCCTGCCGAAAGCTGACCCTCAGCTTATGTAAATAAGCTTTGTGGCAATATCTGCCTTGTTTGTGATGCAAGGGACTGCCTTCTGTAATTTTTATTTCTCACTGTCTTGCTTTTGCACCGCAGCCCCATTATTGACAAAATTCTAGGACCATTTTGAAATGGATTTTGTACGTGACGTGAGAAAAATAGACAAAAATAATTAGTGCATGAGTGGCCACCAAGTGTAATATCAAAGAAAACTGAATAAACCAACATCTTGTATTTATGGACAAAATACATTGGCCTATGATCGTTAAGATGTACGGAACACCGTCCATTTCCTGACATTTTCTGGACCAAAGAACAAATTAAAAGCTCATTTTATCTTCATCTTAATGACTTCCGAATGTTGTTTCAGGAAATGGAGTGCGGAGAAGAACCATCTGAGTAAACGTTTTCAGCATCTCTTCAGGATCTTTGCTTCATTAAACCAGCACCAGATTAGATAGAGCCAAGTAAATGTAAAGGCTCACTTGGATTACACCATCATGGATATCTTTCCCCGGCCCAGTGGTGAGATCCAGAGGAGGAACCCTCAACATGACTTTGAGCTCATTCAGAGGGTGGGAAGTGGCACATATGGAGACGTGTACAAGGTACGGTGGAGTGGAGTGGAGTGGAGTGGGGTGGAGGGGCTGCTTCCCACAGGCCTTCATTAGAACTGGAGATAATTTGGTTTGCAGTCACATGACTTATCAGCCCTGTGGTTTTAATTAATGGCAGAACCTTGTTGGATAACATATGGCCAACACACTTGACAGCATCTGCTGAATGTGGGCCAGTTCAACCCTGTAAGTATGGGTTGAAACTATGGCTGTGATATCATTGACACTAATAACGGGTTTTTAACTACTTTTTACAGATTGATGTAAAAGCACAAATTTGGGTCAAGTCTGTCTTTATTGTGTGCCATGATGTTGTCAGACAGACAAATAGTAGGAAAAAGAAGCACAATATTAAGTTAATAACAGGTGCTGTGAAGGGACTAAGCAATGACAGTGATTTGACAATACTTGAACGATGGCTAATATTTTAAAGACAACCCTCTGATGTTACTGCCCCTGAGAAATGATCACAGATCAGATCACAGAGGTTCAGTTAGATTAAACAACAGAAAAAATAACAAGGAAGATGCTTCCACTGGCAGTAATTCTCTATTAATTCTCTATCATTTGAAGTTTTTTTAGAGTATAAAATGTTTGTATTTATGTAAAGTTACTTAAAACATTAAATTAGGAATATGACATTCTCACCTCCAGGACACTATGTATAGCTAATTAATCATGAAATTGGACATATTTTGATGTATGATGTATTCTTGGAGTGCTAGTATATTGTAACTTGCATGGCTTTCCTGAAACCTTTGGCTGTTTTGGGTAATAGAAGCTTTTACCTGTGTAAATTAGCAAATTGCTACTTGAATGTGAAATTACGTTCCTTTAGGCCAGCACTAATGCTGGATGTTTTGAAAGAGAGTTTGTAATTTTTTAAAAAAATTTTTTTGGGAGTCCTTCATTGGTATGCGTTGAAAAGCCAGCAGGCACCACACATCCTGCAGTTGCACAAGTAGAAAGAACGCTGAGAAACTTGATCCAGACTTTGACACAGTGTCAGCTGCAGTGAGGTGTGTTTTAGCCCACAAGTTTGCTTGTTTATCCATCTGCCACAGACAAACAGATGACCCCTCCGACCCCATAGTCTGATAGCCTGCTGTCCAGCCGCCACCCCACCCCCAGTAGGCCATCGGTGGAATGCTGTGCCTGGTATTCTGGCAGAGCTGCAGCAGGCCGAGCACTGCAGCTCGCTGAAATATGATCAAACCCCTGTCTAAACATGCGCTTCACCATGGGTGTGTTCTGCAGCACACTGACGGAGGAAACACCGCACACTGGGAACAGGCTGGTTTTGGTCACAGTTTAATTTCAATGGGTACATCATGCTTTGCTGTGGGTGAATTATGAGATCTGATTGTCTTGATTTAAGAGTCCTATATTTCAGCTCTTTGTTATTACTGGAGATAATGATTCATTCATTTTCATTATGGTGTCATGGCCCTGCTTCTCAGTGGAGTTTATTTCTTTTTAGTGCTTCTTGTATTTTTGGTGGAATAGTTTTTTAAACTATGTAGCTTATTTTTTTAGACCTGGAATTGTTATTATCCGTGCTTTAGTGTCTCCCCTTCATTTTAAATGAATGGATGCCATCTTGAAATATATAGAAATACATACATAAAATATATGAAGTATATATATATATATAGTAACGATGGAGGCCATTCACTGAACAGGACACTATTTCTTAGCATAGCTGATTACTACTCAGCAGCATCAGGGGATTGTACAATAAATGTATTTTAAGCAAAGACATATTTCTTCTGGTCCTGGTGATCGGTTTAGCTTTCCTGCCACTGCAAATCAATATTAAGGCTTTTGTTCAGTGTTGTTGGCAGAGGCAGCGTTCCACAGTTTGAACACTGTGGATTTACATTTATTTAAAAGCCATCTGATGTTTTTGACGTTCAAACCCTTGGTTTCCAACTTTACCTCTCTTGCCTATATTGACATTATAGACTTGGCAAAAAAAAACAAAAACAGTTGTCTGTCGGTTTTTGTAGCCAAATAAAGTGTTGACTCTAGCAGAGCTGCTGTTAATTAATTTCTTTTCTTCAGTTAGAATTGCAGTTTCTTAAGAAGTACTTCTAGATGTGTCAACATGGGGGGAGGTGGGGTGGCTAAACAAAGTCTTAACTGCTGTCTGTCACTTCATGCAGACTTAAAAATGGAGTACTGCTCCAAAAGCTTTCATACTCTGCAGCTATATTGCTAAGTTATTTATAGTCAGCTGCAAAGAAATATTTTGTTGTTGAGTGTCCCTCGTCTTATCTTGACTGTAGTTACTGTACATCACTGTAGACACAGTCACACCTTTTCTTCCACAGGCCGTACCTGTTGATTGACCTTCAGACCCTGTCAGATCTCTGTTCTTATATACCTGACTTTTTTTTCTGTCTGAGCTGAGCAGTCAACTCTGCTTCGTGACGTAACTTTTTACAGTTTTTTTTAAACTTCCTCTTCTGAGTTTTTTTTTTTTTTTACTCAAGTTGTCTCGAGCCAACTCAGGAAACTAGACTCAGGTTGTAAGCCAGGGTTTTGTCTGTGCTTCAACAGAGACAAGACAGGAGAGGATTCGCCATAATGTACCACATGCTTCTCATAGAACCACAACTATCCAAATTGTTGTTGTGAGTTGGTATACACATGTGGTTCCGGCTGCTAGAGAAGTATAATCCCAGTGTGGGTTACTGTCTAACTGTGTGATTTACCAAAGCTATGTCAGTGTTGAAAGACAGTCAGAGAGGAGGGTTTTATGGTTCATGGTTGATTTAGCTTCTCGTCACATCTTCTCAGTCCCGTGGATTAGGCAGCATCCCGTCTTGACCTGGATTTTCGAAGTGGTGGTAGCCTACTTTAAGAGAGAATGTTGACAAACTCCTCTTATGAATGTGTGTCAGAACATTGACACTGTCTGACTGGTATCTTACAAATAATTTTGAAAACAAGGAAACTGTTCCTTGGGCTGCTGAGATATTTTAAACTTACCTTGGAGCTGTAGCCGAGGACAGGCGGTGTCAGGCCTCTCAGAGTTGACTAACCCTAACCCAAGGCTTGACCTTTTGCCCTTTGTCTGCGGGGGACTGTTTGTTTGAGATGACCAGGGCTTGATTTTTATCTACTTAGTCTGTAAAGTAGAGAAACAAGTCACTGACACATTATACAAGAATTTGTGTGAGAGAAGCGTTGCTGACATTCTTTACTGTTTGACTGCAGTTCCCACAGTAGTCACAGAAGATCATGGAAACCCAAATTACTGAATGAATGTCTTTGTACATTCAAATATTACACTTGTAATGGTCGTATATTAATGTAGTACTGACGTCAACAACTAAATCAGTATAATAGTTTTGGTGACAAGTCATATATGTACACTTTATTACTACATTAGAATCTCTTACTGTAAAAGCTAACACAAAGATTGACTTCATAAATGGCTTATACCAACTTCATTTGTACTGTTGTGTTTTTTAGGCCCGAAACATACAAACAGGAGAGCTGGCTGCTGTGAAGATCATTAAGTTGGAACCAGGTAAGAGGGCTTGTCTTTTTGTATCAGTTTCATAGTGAAGAGAAACTTTTTTTTTGTGAGAAACACACAAAGCACAAATCAAACAGAATCACTTTGCATGAGCCCTAAGCGTGACAGCGCAATATATTCTCTAATGACTCAAAGCTGTTTCAATTTCATTTTTGTTTTATCAAAACCAAATTGAATAACAGTCGAATATTTAATGGACCAGCATTCCCGGCTGCGGTTGTTCTGTGCCATCTCTGTCCTGGTGGTAGAGCTAGCATCATACAGATTAGTGGGATTAGGAAGAGCCAGCAGACGGAGCTCAGCCGATTACAGACCTGTGAAAAAAGAGATTCACTTTCCTGATTCATTCATTGACACACTGTTAGCGTCAGGACCAGCAGTGCCTGAAAGGACATAAGTAACGTGAATAGTAAACAGACAATCCAAATTTACTGCTAGCTGCAGATCATCTGAAATGTATAAACTTGGGTTGTCAATTGATCAACAATTTTTGCAAATTAATCACAAATTAATCACAAATTAATCACAAATCTCTTCGGTTTTAAGTATTCCTGTAAAACCACCAAACCATTTGCAACCATCCAAAGAAAGGACAAATATTCTCCAAAATAACCCAAGAGGTGTTGCAAAAATGTAGGGAGGCACAGAATTAAATTTTGGACTCAATTCCGACTTCTCAGCCGGTCTGATTTGCCTACACCGTTCTGATTTCCTTCAACTGACAGTGTATACAAATGAAAAGGTTCCTCAACTCAAAGATTTATTCTTGTATCAAATAATTAGGAAACACTTCCCACAAGCTGCACTATTACTCAACTATTTATACTGTTCATGTATTTAAACTCTTTATATACCTGTTCACATAACATCCTTATAATTATACTAGTTCTGCTTAAATTAATATTGTGTAGTATTAGTGTAGTAATTGTTAACAATGGTATAATTGCAATAGAATAGTAAATAATAATTGAGGCTACTAATCTACTAATACTATCTGTTTACTTCTACTAATCTACTAATCTCATCTACAAACATCCGCTGTTCAGGTTTTCCACTATTCATCGACAATGTGTCACAGGATCTCTCTTCAGTTCAACAACTTTCAAAATGAAGTGTCAGACGACTGATACTAGAGTGCAAAGTTCTATTTCTTAAGCATAAATGGGATTTGTTTTGTGAAACAAAAGCCTCTCTGCTTTGTCACCTGACAGATGACTCCTCTCCTCATCTGTCACGTGCCCTGCTAAAATAAAGTGACGCTCGCACGATCCGAAACACCTCATGTAACACAGCATCTGAAAAAAACACCTTTCTATACCACATTTGTTTATTTAGAAGCAGCAGTTCTTTGAAAAGCTCTGTAATTAACAAATGAATGTCACCGCTGCTAGGTCACGGTTTAACTCAAGCGAAAAGTGAGGGATGCTTCTGATAAAGTTATTCTGTTTATGTTTGACCTATTAACTTGATCCTTCTGTGGAGTTGAAGTATTAACCCAGCCTGCGTCATCTTGTTGAAGCAGGGTTTTTCTTTTTCTTTACTCTTGCTCCTACCAGTCACACTCTCTGTGCTGGAGGTAAACAGCTGTGGGTGGACCGGGGAATCAAACAGGTTTAACCAGGAGGTATGACGACGGTA